CACACACACACACACACACACACACACACACACACACACACACAGGAGGGATGTACTAATTGAATATTGTGAATGTTGTTCTTAATGGTTGGAGGGTGTCGCTGGTAGGTCATACTTCTTTTCTTCCCCTCTCTTTTCAATCTGTTTTCTCTTTCTTTGCCATTATTATGTTGATGTATTTCCTTTTCCCTAAAACAATCAAAGATAAAACTAACACATCTTTGTTCCTGTTTGCATCAACAGTGAGGCATGGAATTGCAGAGGACGTAAGAAGTACAGATTCAATTAAAGCAAGTTTGAAAACAAAGTTGAAAGCTCGACAAGGTAACAGCCTTTTAATGAATTTATATATATATGTGTGTGTGTGGATGCGTGCACAAAGATTAAAATTCCCTTTTGTCTTGTCATTGTTCTTTCCTCATAAATTCCCTAGTTTGTCATCAACATAGGTATTTTGAAATATTAGTTTGAATATAAGGGAAACAGGAGTTTCTCTAGAAGTCACTAGATTATGTGGAAGTGACGTTGATTTCATAATTTCATAACCTGTTTGCTTCTTTTTGCATTATTCACGACATGAGCCCTTCACAATCTGGTTGTTACACTTCAATGCCAGTACTGCCTTGTCCAGGGTTTGCTTTTGAAACGCTTTGAAATGTCTTTTCACTTTAAGTATTTTGCCAAGAGGAGTGCAATGAAGCTATTATAACTGCTCCAGATTTTATGTTTAGACCAATTGTTGCTTTGCAGAACTTTCTACTTGCAAAGATTGTTTCTTTTCAAATATCTCAAGATAAATGTATGGCGGGAGTTGAACAATGTATGTGGCTCCTCAAAGAATGCCTAATTTCACTCAGCTCAGTTGTTTTAACGTTGGATAGTAACCCATGTTCTTTTTCGCATTCAAGTTGTTGGCAGATGTTCTGTTGTGGTTGATCCTCAAAGTCCATTTCCAATGTTGTTATAGTTTTGTTTCAGTTCTTTTAAGCATTTATATAATTATGTTGCTTGAGACAAGCACATTCCTCAGTGGGTAATGCAGAATTGTTTCTACTGCTTTATTTTCAGTGGACTATCCCACCACTGTGGACAGTGAGTACGCAGCCAGCCCCAGCCAGCCTCAGGATGGGGAGCAGCTCATCATCAGCCACCAAGGCTCCCACTATGAGATGTACGAGCAGTCGCAGCCACAAGTGCTGGTTCACCACCATGACCCCAGCACTGGCGAGTCGTCTGTCCTCCTGGACATGGATGGTGGAAAGAGCAACGGCTCAGACGCGGCGGTGGTGGTGGAAGATGAGAACCATGTCCCCATGCGACAGATCTCCTTGGAACGCTTGCCAAAGTCACATGTGAAACAGCTAATCAGCGCAGGGAAAGGAAATCAGTTTCAGGGTCACGGCCCTGACGTTCAAGTGGTAGCTGCAGGCTACTCTGACGCCGTGCCACCCAACACCACTGTGTACATCTACACGACCAACGGAGGCATCCCTGCTGATCACGTGGCTATTGATGAGGCAACTGGGGAACAGCTCGTTCTGCAGGAAATAGATGGTGAACACTTAATGATTGCAGGGGAGGCAGACATAATGAAAAATATATCTCAGAATCAGGTGGAAGAGTTGGAGAATGCCTCAGAACTTCGTACTGGAACTGTGACTTCTGTCTCTGAGCAGCCAGTCTTTAGCCAACCGCTGCGGGAGATTAGCTCCCGGAGGCAAGTTGCCTCGAAACATATCTCAGCCACAACAGGCGGCAAGCAGTTAATCTCTAAGTTGTCCATGCCGGAACATGCAGCTAAAGGTTCTGATCAAAGTGTTGCGAAGGACCGGTCAGGACAGAAGTCTGTTACAAGGTCTGATGCTCGTAACTTGTCAAGCATCCCTTCTTCTAGTGTGTCAAATGTGTCGTCCACCAGTGTGTCAAATGTGTACAGCAACACTGTCACTTCTTCTGCCACTGGGATCCCCCCTCTGACACGCATCCTGATACCGAACAAATCACCGAGCAAATCGTCAGCTGCTTCCCCCTGGGAGGTGGAAGGAGATGAAGACGCTGCCATGGCTTCCTATATTCTGGTGTCTGGGGGAATTTATGACACAAATTCCAAGACAGCAGGCCAGACAGTAGATGTGAAGTCAGAGAGAGATTATAGAGAACGGTATAGCGCAGCGCAGGGAGCCACTTTACCTCAGGCTAGTGGAGATGCAGACCAAAGGAAGGAGCAGCGAGTCGGTGCTGTGCACCAGGGGGAGCAGAATGCTTCCGAAGTGTCTGCAACCGGGACACAGCCAGCAGGGAGAAATTCAGAAGCAGCAGCCAAAGGAAGCCTCACCTCAATGGAGTTGCATTTAACAAAGATGATAGTGGATACTACTAATCCCACTGACAATTTAAGCACAATGCATCTGGCAGAATTTGCTGAACACTTCGAAGAGAAAGAAAGAGAAGCCCAGAGAGAGGCAGAAGTAATCAAGTCAAAGGAATCACCAGTAGGACCTGTATAGCCAAAGACTTATGATGTACGCAAAATGCTATTCTGTGGACAGTGTTTGAAATGACAAAACAATATTTCTTTAAAAAAAACAAACTTCGAACGTTCCCATATTCGCATATGAAATGGATGGATGTAGGTGGTTTGGACATGACGAAGACAGTAGATGTCGAAAGACACTTGTCCATATTGGTGGAGGACCTTTTCCTCTAGTTAAGAAGTGACATGCTTCAACTCCATAATCCTTTGTCTCCAGTATCTCAAAGCAGCGCAGTGTTGTCATTGTTTCGCATGTTTGATGAAGGCCAGAGGTCAGGGTTTCATGTAAAGGATTATATGTATGCTGTATAATGTGCATCATGTCACCTGTTTCTGTTTTTCGTGATGGTGCCTTACCAAGTCAACCATATTGTTGGGCTGCTGTTTGTGATACCAAGTTCCTTCTTGATGGAGATTATTGTTGTATGGACGCTGAAGCAGCTGGGGGGTTTTGAGTACTATTGTGATATATATGATTACTACTGATTTGTTTTTTAAAGATTGAAAAAAGATTACATTTTTCTTTTTATTACACAAGGAATTGTTTTGGGAGCTTTGGCAAGCACTTCTCGTAAGTTCTGCTTGTTGTGCATCTTCCTGATTCCTTTTGTTCCTTTGCCAATGTTATCCCCATCTTCTTGCAAGAAAGGGTAATCTTTTTGTCAATGTGTTTGTCCACAATTAACTGCCAAGAGCACTCAGAACAGAAAATTAAAACGTGGTCTTTGTAATGTAGATCTATCTGCATATTTTTGTGCTCGAGTAAAGCGTATCCTTCATCCTTCATCTAGACATCAAATTTAGCTCGAGTTGTTCCATGCTAAAGTTTTCTTTTATAACAAGAATAAATTTTTTTTCTTGGAAAAAAATAATGCTTAAGTTGAGGGTTCAGTATTTGAAGTTATAAATTTTGTTCTTGCTTACATTTTGTTTCTTTCTTGCTTAAAGCCATTTCAACATAAAAGTTTCAAATCCGCTCATTGACAGGTCATGGAAATGAATGGTTAATACCTTAATATTTCAATGCTTTTTTTTCCACCGTATGTTGCTATGAAACATGCTATTACATTTAAATAACAATTTTATTTTGCATTTTTTTATTGACATGCTGGTGAGCATTTACTCTAATTAGTAGCTCATCCGTCACTGAAATGATATGAGCTTCGATACTCACATTGACGATAACCATTCTGTGGATATGCCCCTGCTTGAATATATGCACATGGACCAAGAAGAGAACTATTTTCATTTTCATATTTAAATCATCTGGAAAGAGTGTGAACTGAAAAGTATGACTGTCCATGTTTTTAAATTTTTGGACAAAGGACCAAAAAATGTTTGCTTCCAGTATCAAGAAGTGAGCTTCATAGTGAGGAAATGCTCTCATTTTATTTGTAGTCATAAATCGTGGATAATCCAAACCTGCCTCCATCCAGAATAGCTTTGTTATATGCTTGATATTTATTCTCTCAAAGCTCCAATGTGAATCCTTTTCACAATTTTGTCACTTGCTCAAAGGGATAACTGTGACTTGTACATTTAAATTTGATTTTCTTCATGAATTGTTTTAGATGGTAGAGTTTCTGCACTTCAAGATTTTAATTTGTGTGTCGGCCTGTGATAGTAGTGTCTGATTTTGTGTTGGATTTTTGCTTTGTTTATTGGTGGAGCTTTGATTTGTGAATCTTGCGAATATTTTCGGCCTTTGCTCTACTACTTGTAATGAGGGTTGGGACTGTATAATAGAGTGATTTCTAGGAGTCGGATGTTCCAAGAATAAGATGATGAAATAACCATTTCATTTTCACTTGGATCATTCTTGTTGATATTAACATAGGGGGGAGATTTTTGTGACTTGATTGTGGGTTGATCCCATTTGTCAGATAGGTAATGGCTTTGCCTTGCTTCCCAAGGACCAAAATGTTTAAGGAGAGACACCTGTATTAGTTTTTCTTTTAGGTTTTAAAAGAATGATGTGATAATTAAGGTGACAAAGGTGCTGGAAAAATCTGAATAACACAATTGACAGTACATGTTTTGTGATGGCAGAGATTTAATTGTATGAGTGGACTAAAATATGAAATGTTCTTTTTACAAATCTATTAACTGTGTGTAAGACACTGTGTGTTGAGTGGGTGTGTGGTCTGTGTTGTGCTGATTTCTAGATGAGAAACTAAGCGTTATGTCAGATGGTAACAGGAAGAACATAAAAGTCGGTGTTAGATGTGTCTGTATGAGAGAATGTTTGTTGTTAGTCTACCATTTACTTTATACTGTATAGTAGAATGAATAATGCATGTGTTGAATGCTTTGGTATGCAGTGCAGACATAATATATATATATAAGATATATGTATATATTGTACACATATAATTTACTCATTCCCACTGCCTCTCTCTGTCTCTATCTCTTTATTTTTAATGCTAGCTAACTAATGATGTAACTGACTTTTTTTATCCTCTGTTTGAATGACAGGCCTGTACTGTGTTCTACTCATAGAAAGTAGGCTACTTTTTTGTGTTTAAAAAAAAAGTGTTTTTTGAGTTCCCTGTTTCTCAGAAAAAGCAGGTTTTACATATTGATAATACATCCTGCACTTTCTCAGTATGCAAATATTTCCTGATGGAATTCACATTTTTTAAAAAAAGGTTGCAGGAAACATTTCCCATTTACAATAATTATTGTCATTTAAATAAACTAATACATGAATGTATTATAAACAAAGAAATGAACAGATTAACAAATAAATGAATAAATAGATTAATAGAGAAATTAATATATTCATAAATAAATAAATAAAGAGAATAAATAAATTGTTATAGAGCCCTTGAGGAAATTTGGGTTACAGTTACAGTGGCATACCTTATAAATACTCAGATACATACATGCTAAAATGTATAATTATGCATGCGTACAAAAAATGTTTTATCAGAATAACTAAAAGATACAATACAATTTTACAAGCTTGCCGTTGCTGGTCGCCACTGTGGAGTGCCCTATTTCTAAGCTAGGATTATCATGTCTTGCTTAAGAACACACCTCAGTGACTAACCTCAAACACAGTTTCTGTGGAAGTAAAGGAAAAATAAGTTCTTTTCAAGTGTTAAAATATATGGTACTGTCCTGGTCTATTCACGCCAAAATGTGAACCTTGCAGTGTTGACTTGCTACAAGCCACAACTGACCAATGTGTGTCTTTCAGGGTTTCTATATCTACAGTCGAACCTGCCTTAACGGAAACCTGTATAAAACGGAAACCTGTCTTAACGGAATCTCCCCGCTCCCCCCTTGATATATTCCTCTTTAATTACCTGTATAAAACGGAAACCTGTCCAACGCGGAAACGGAAAGAAAAATCCGCTCCCTTCGGAGGATTTCACCTGTCTAAGACGGAACATGCATTGCCCGCTCAGCCCTGATTTGAAACCACATGGAACAAAACTCGCAAGTTTGGTTCCGCTGGCACTAAACTAACGCTATGGTCATGCCACAGGTCGAGGAAGGGGAGTAGGGGTGCAATTTGGGGGTAGATGTTACCCAAGGAGATTAAAAGTAAGTTCTAAGCTCCTTGATGTTACCCCATCATGTGAGCCCTGAGCGATGCAGATGGCCAGTGGAGTGTGGGTGTGAAATCTCACGACTGCCCGTGAGAGTGCTCGAGGAGCCAGCCACTACGGAAACTCTCCTGGGTCCTGAAGCCAGAGGTGTGAACTTAGATTGACCAATGCCTGCCGCCCTGATCGTACGGCCAGCCGAGAAAAGAGTTCCTTGAATCGTTGTTACAAAGATGGCAGTGAGGGGTGGCATTGGTGGGTGGGGCTAAGGATGGAAGCAAGGGAGATATTCAAACGTTTCTGTTTTTAATAGGTCAAACAGTGGTCGTATGAAAGGAAAGCATTGGTGGTAATTGGATAAGTAAGACTGCTGCATGTCATTATCAGACAGGATAGCAATTGAGAGGTGTGAAGTTTTGACCACTGCTTGCCCATCGGACAAGCGATCCTTGATCCCA